ATAGAAACAAAGATCACAGACGCGAGTCTTTCTCCTAGAAGCCAGAGAAGATAATTGAAATGTTTACAACTTCGATCGCTTGTTTCTTTTAATGTAAATACAGGGTCCGGCAAAAGTGTGCCGGACATCTGTAGCTCCTAGGATAAAAAATTGGAATTTTGTGAATAATGAACAAAACATTTAAACAAAAACAAACCACAGACTACACAAAACAAAATGTTGGTTAGTAGCAGTTAGTAGTAGTCAGAGATATAGAAATAGTAGTATTTTGGTTTAAGGCCATAGCTATCCGGCCAGGTAATAGAATTATCGTTTTTAATAAAAATAATTAAAAAAAAACATAAAATTATAAAGCTATAAGCTAAGTAGACGGTTTTATATCACCTCTATTGTAAAAAATGTCTATACCTACAGGGTCCGGCAATAGTGCGTCGGGCATCTGTAGCTCCTAAAATAAAAATTTCAGAATTATGTTTAAGCGCAACCCTAAAGTATGTACGAGGATTTATTTCAGGAAAATATTTTAACTTCTATAGAGTGGCTCATAAAAGTGTGAGTGGATCGGGATGTTTTTGTTTTAAATAAAACACCCTGTATATTATTGCATTTTTGGCTTCCTTTCAGATTGCTTTACATAATCCTAAGATATGAGTAAATATATTTCGGTAATTTCAGAGATGTTAGTAAAAAAAATAAGAAAATATATATTTTTCAAACTGTTTAAAAAAATTATTACAAATACAAGAACTGTCCTAAAATCAAAGCTATGTTAGGTATTTACTTTAGATGGTCTATACTTACTTTCCTATAAATATCGTAATCCTAAATCATACAGGGTATTCAAAATTCTACGCCAAACTTTCTTAAATATAAAATAATTTTTCTTAATTTTTTTTTAAAAGGAACACACTGTATATTATTTTTTTGTTAGATGGAGAATTAAAAAATGATTATTTTTGTGTTTAAAGTACTTCAAAATTTTTAATGGCTTCGCAGATACAAGCAATATTATTTCATATATATATGGCTCTTTCAACGGTAAAATACGAGAGAAAAATCATTTTGGTGGCTTTGATAAAAATTTACTGTGGAAAATGCCATACGAAATATAAAACATCGAATATCTCCAAAACCGTGAAAAATATTGAAATACTCTAAATGCAAAAATGTTAATTTTTAATTCTCCATCAATTGAAAAACCAATCTACAATGTATTCCATTTAAATAAACCAACAAAATTTATTTTATATTTTTTTATATTTTAGAAAGTTTGGCGTAGAATTTTGAATATCCTGTATCATTTACGATTACCATATTTATAGCACAGTTAAGTACGGATCATCTAAAGTAAATACCTAATATAGTTTTGATTTCAGGATAGTTTTTGTATTTTTAATATTTTTTTAAGAAAGGCTGAAAAATATTTATTTTTTGTTTATTTATTAATATGTCTAAAACTATCTAAATATATTTATCCACATCTTAGGGTTCTGTAAAGTGATCTGAGAAGAAACCAAAAAAATACAATAACATACAGGGTGTTCCATTTAAAAAAAATCATAATCATCCACTTCTACTTTTTTTGGGCCACCCTATAGAAGTTAAAATACTTTTCTGAAATACATCCTAGTTCATACTTTAGGTTTGCACTTAAACAAAAGTCTCAAGTTTTTTATTGTAGGAGCTACCAGATACCCGACGCACTATTGCCGGATCCTGTATAAATTCCGTCAACTTGACTGGACCAACAAAGGATTAAAACAATTGGAAATAGCTTAACCATCTAATCTCTGATGACATAGTCCTAATTGCCAATAGTCCTGAAAAAGTTATTTAAAAATTAAAGTACACACAAATTAAGGAACTACAAATAAAGCCAGCAATAAAGTAGGTCTTAAAATGAATTTAGCAAAAACTAAAGTAATCTACAACGAAGTAGTAAGCACAAAATACATTCTAATAAATAACTCAAACCTGGAAATAGTAGAATAATATGTATCTTTAGTATTTAGGACAACTAATATACAGCTCGGGATTAAAACCATCTCTATTAGAGTAAATGTCAATAAACAATAGAGAGTTTTTAGATCGCCTATTTGGTAAATGACGTAAAACCCTAAACGTTATACTGATCATGCGCAGTTTGTGAAAAATAACCGACAACATTTGTTGGCTAGGTACTGTCATTTTAGATTTTGAACCGTGTATTTAACACGTCATTTGTCAAACGTTAACGTTAAATTTTGCAAATGTCAAGATGTCAAGTGTCAACCATCAACTTGGACACTACATCTTGGCGTTGCCAATTTTTGTCAGTCAAATATGTTGGTTATATTATTTTGATGGAAAAAATCAAAAGAAGACTACAAAAAAGTATATATTTAGGAACTATTTTACGTATTATTTTTTACCCTTTTGGTAGCAGTTTTCTTTTTTTTTTCTTCTTTGATTATAATCCAGATAAGTATTACACTTGGCAACCGTGCTAAAATGTATCCCGCAATACTTTGCCGTAATAGCGTACCGTTTATTTGAACCTAAATAGCGGCCATGCCCTAGACATCAAGGGTAATTTTATGGAACTACAAATTTAGTTTCTTCCGCATCGCCAGACCGCGCAAAAGACATTAAAGTACAGATTTCTAATTTATATATAAAGATGACATGACAGCCTCTATATTTACTACCATCTATGGTCTAGTTTTGGTCTAGTTGTCAAAATGTTGGTGATCCGTCAAGTTATTTTAAATAATTATTAATTCAGATATTCCTGATTTGCCGGAAAGTTCGGTGATTTGTGTTTATAGTTTGTGTTTTTATTAGTTTGTGCATTTTGATATTTACAATCGACCATCATTTTCGTGCGAGATAATAAACTTTTTTTAGCAAAGACGTTTTAGACAGCTTAGATGAATAATACATTTACGAACGAAATAAATAAAATGTTTAATCATAAATAAGTAAGTACATAGTTGGTAATATAGTACTTTAACAATTAGTCTATAATATTTTTATTATAATATTATAATTTATTTGTTAAATCAAAAAAATAGGCGCTATGTACTCTATTTTGGTGTTTAAAATGTATGTATTCATAATTTTATTTTTAGTTTTGAATATGTTATACTTCTAATGATCTAATAAAACATAAAATATAGTAAACGAGTCTCTATTTATTATTTTATATTTTACAAGGAATAATTTTGCGCTTGAATAACGTTACCGTTTTAGTGAGCGTTAATAAGTAACGGAACGGTAAAATTATGTTATGCCAAAACTCCCCATTAGTTTCTTGCGGATCACCAGGTGGCTCTAAATGACGGACTTATTTGTTTCATATCAGTGTCCAATCTATCTCTAGTACGTGACATTAGTCTATGATAGCGGCAAACGCTATCCACTAATAGGGTAATCCCAAGAACAGTTAACCTAATAGGACTGCTCATTCAGCCAAAAGTGTCCGCCAGGTGCATGCGAAAACTACTCGCTTTGTGACGTCATTGTAACCCTTGTCATGGTTATTAGTCCTTATCCGGCAACCAATAATACACACACGTGCATTATTGGTTACCGAATGCAAAACGTTCATTATTTAGTTTATTTATTTAAACACCTTATATGTATGCAGTAAAGAAAATTAACTGTATAAATCGTATTAAATACTCGGATAATGCATTTTAAGAACAGCGGGTCCCAGCAACACTTTTGCAAGCATTCTTTTAGAGTACTTCCATATTTTGCTTTAAAATAATTAATAAACAAAATCGTGGACACTTAGTATACACTTTGTCACAATCCACAACACAAAATGAACGTATTTATACAATCTATAGCTCTAAAACTTTAAAGACACCTTTTCACATTTAAAATTGACAAAATAATTAACTCAAAATTTCTCAGCTGTTATTTTTATAAGTTTACCATAGGCAACTAATAATACACACTATCATGACAAGGCCACGAAGGCTTTGACAAGGGCTACAATGACGTCACAACTGTCAGCTGAAGCGCGGGAAGAGGCGAACGTACGACTTATGAGGATGAGCAATCCTATTAGTTTACCGTTCTTGGGGTAATCCCTAATTTTTGTATCAATGCGCATGCTCTAAATAACGGATAACGTATAAAGCTGATCGAATAAGGGGCTTAAAAAGTCTCTAATAATAATATGACTTTTCGATGACAGTGGCATTACAAAATCAATAAACACTATTTTATAGGTTTGATAATGAGGATACAAAATCTATGCTAAAATTGCTGTAAATCGTTATTGTCTTGTCCAAAAGCGAATACTTATCACCGATAATAATAAAGCTATTGCGATGAATCAAAAACAAACTCTCCAGAAAAGACGTACCTAGATGATAAAATAATTTTTATAATCCTTGCTTTGTTAACGTATTCCACAGGGTGTTTCAAACTTTCACATAAACATCAACATTTTGTTTTTCGTCGTATAATTGACAGACGGAAACTTTCATTTTTAATTTAGAAAGAGATACTAAAAAGTCAAATAATTTAGCTACAAATTACTTTAAAAATCATAAAAATCGGCCCACTAGAAGGAAATATATTAACTTTAAGATACTTCAAAATTTTAAGGTGCCCGTTTTTCGTGCCGGCAAGTGTAGAATCACTTTCATACTTGATAATGGAAAGCGATATAACTATCTGAAACGTCGTAATTTTTGAAAAATTTTATTAAATATGTTAATAGATAATGTTATATTAAATTATATGTTTAATTAACAATCAAAATGAGCGTATTATTTTATAAAAAGTTCTAATTTTCATAAACATAAAATTATTTTAAGGAAGATCTTGAATAATTAGGAACGATATTTTATAATAATCTGTTATGAATTTCTCTTCGTGTTGGTGCACGCTGTATAAAAAAACTGAGTTTGTGTATGTATGTCTGAATTAATTTTCCATATGACTAAAACACGTTGAAAATACCCCCCACCACCTAAAATGGACAACTATTAACTTCTTAAAGGAATTATGATGATAATAAATATAAGAGAGGCGCACATGAATACGAAACCAGTAGAGTAAGCCTTTCGCAACATCAATAAGCTTCGAGCGTAAATTTTGTGTTGGTCAATATGAAATCTATGGTTGTTGGGTGTTTGGTGGTTTTGGTAGCGGTGATCGGTTTGTCCGCAGCCAGACCTGACGATCAATACACCACTAAATACGACAATGTCGATTTGGACGAGATTTTAAAAAGTGACAGGTTGCTGAGAAACTACATCAACTGCCTTTTGGACAAGGGGAAATGTACGCCTGACGGTGCTGAACTGAAAAGTAAGTTGTTATTATTATATATTTTATAATAATTATGTAGGTATTTGTATTTGTATTAAGTTTGGAACATCAAACAAACCAAACTTTTATAAAATCCGAAATTCCAGAATAATATACTATAAATTTTCTCCTTTACATTGTGTGAGATTTTTATATATCCATTAATTTTTTTCTATGAAAATTTCTAGCTATTATTACATTTGTTTTTATTACAGAATAAGCTTAATTTAATAATTTTTAATTAATGATTTTAAGTGACAGTGACAAATAGCTATCCTTTATCGATAGGTTAAATCGGTTCAGCAAATCGGAGAAGATTTCGACAGACCAAAAAAATATGACAAAAATACGTTAATAAAAATGACAGACAATAACTGTCACTGTCACGTATTCTCTCCTTGATAAGTCTGTATTTATTGTACTACTATTAAGTAAGACTGCAATATACTTACATTAATTTCAATAAATGTTAAAATATTAAGGAATATGTTCTAGCTTTGTAAGTACCTAATATGTTATAACCAAATATCTACCATATTCAGATATACTATATTAGCAAAATACCATATTAATATAATAATTACCCAAATAATACAATACCAACTATACCAACTTAATGTTTGGGATTTTTTTTTTATTTGCCAGCTCTAAAGGTGTCTATAATATAATTTAGAATTAATGTACCTGCCAATTTTTTTACTGATTAAGGTCTTTTTAGTATTGTAATTATTTCAAATATATATTTTTAGAATTTACATTTTTAGAATTTTTAGATATTTATAATGTGCAATAAATAAAGTAGACTGTAAAAAGCAAATATAAATTAATTGTCTTATAATTTTCCTAATTGCAAGAAAATGAACATAACAATATTTAAAAATGAATATTTTCAGGACTAATATAAAATTAAGAATTAAATATATCCATCAAAAACATAGCATATAAAAGAATGCCATCGGTAGATGATGCTAACCAAAAAAAAGAAAAGTAAAGTTTTTTGGTGTATTGTGGTAATTTAATATATTTTATTTTGCTGTTGCAACACCAAAAGTTCCAACCCTCAACTATAATAATCTATCATTACGATATCTCAGTAAATCTAAACAGTGCACTTAATAAAGTTTTTTAATTAGGAGAGAATATCATATCGTGCAATTGCCAAGTCATTATAATTATTACAGAAATAAAGATGTCTAATATTGATAATAACAATTTATAACAAAATTATTGAATAAGAGCTTAAAGAGAAACAAAATAAAATAAACTGACTTGGTTTTACATGAGATCTCACAACTTTATTATAGTGGAAGAATTTTGTTGCGAGAATGCCAAGTCTCGCAACAATTCCACACTACATTCGCAACTCTTTTACATTCTATGTTTTTGATGGGATCTTATTTATTTCTGTAAGCTATCGTCCTATTTTTTCCTCTATATCGTTCACATAAATTTTGAATTATTGTATAAAGTCAGATAGTATAAAATGGATTAATTCTGGTTTTTTAACGACTTGTGTTTCCAACTTTCGTTATAATCCAAATTTCAACTTTAAAAACGTTTAATTCATGATTTTACCAATGCTTATTCTAATCGTGTTTCTTTCGATTTTACACATATTTTATTTTTCATCACGAAAACTATGTGAAATATGTAGGTATAGGTTAGTATAATAGAAAACAATGAGATATGAAAGTAGTTTTCAAAAATGTAATAATATACTGGGTGTTCCATTTAAAATAACAAAATGCTACCACTTTAACGCTGATAATATTTTAGATAAATGGAGCAGGTGCCTTTATATAAAAAAATCAAATTTTCAAAATAATCCTATCAACGGTTCTGCTATTACCTTCGCCGGAAATTCAGTTACCGGTAGCGGTTAGACAGCTAACTTCTAATCCATAAGGATATTTCGAGATTTTTCATTTTTTTCTTCCATTATAAGCTTAATGCTACCTAAAATTCAAAATTTGAAGTTTGTAACATTTCTAGAAGTAGCTTAGAATTTTGATAACGGTTTGATGATTAGAATTCATCAAATCGATGAATTCTAATTGTTTACTTTTTTTTCGACTGGAAAGTCAGTTATACCAGCTAAGTTTTAATCCATAAGGATATTTCTAGATTTTTCATTTTTTCCTTTGGTTATAAGCTAAAAGCTACCTAAAATTCAAAATTGCAAGTTTGTGACACATCTAGAAGAATCTTAGAATTTTGATTGTGTCAATGAGTCAATGCCGAAATTAAAGAAACCTGACAAGCGATAATTCATAAACCATGAGGTATATTTACTCGATATTTTGGTAACCTAGCCAGCTATAGTATGTCTTCATGTTTAGTGAAAATTAATATTCTTGCTTTATCCACAACGAAGTTACAGGGTAGTCAAAAGTACCAAAAAAGAGTCTGCATGAAAAGGGATATCGCGGTCGGTCCAGGCCTAATGTTTTACCTTGCGTTTTGCTACCATCTTTTTTTTTGAGGAGAGGAAAAATCTTGCATAAGACACCGTTGAGTAGTGTCGGATGCCTACCGACTAAAAAAACCCTTCTCTCGTTCCAACACTCTATCCAGCTGGAAACCGCTTGCTCATTACTTCAGCTGGAAGGCTGTCTATGCGGTTAGGCCCCGCATTCTATTTCCTTTGGTTTGTATTATTTCTCGAACGCATCTATATGTAATTTTACATGATGTTTCACCGCTTAGACCTTGTATCATATTTTTAGCATTAAAGACTTGTCCACCACTGTCCCGTTGGAATGACTCTCTAAACTGCTTCCATTCATTGCAGAGGAATAGTGTGTGTGTTCGATAGTCTCAACTTCCTTGTAATACATACACAAATTTGAGGTGGATCTCTCCCTTTTATACAAATAGGTGTTAAAGCATCCGTGCCCTGTGAATGCCTGAGTTAGGAAATAGTCCGTCTCTCCAAAGCTTCTGTCTAACCAGGTATTAATGTCTGGTATGAGATCATATGTCCATCTACCATATCTATCTAGATCGTACTCCTTTTGCTATTCATTCATCAGTATGCTTCTTGCTTACAGTTTTGATGTCCCTTTGTATCTCTCTCTTCTCTCCTCTTACAAGTAGGTGAATAGGCGGCACCCCGGATATGACATTTAATGCTTCAGCGGAGACGGTTCTATATGCACTTCAGATCTTGAGGTTCAGTTTACGGTGTATAGATTTAAGTTTTTGCCTTATATATCCCTTTGATATTGCGAAGTACCACACTGGTGCGGCATATAACAGTTGAGAGTGTGCTACACAGGTTAGGATTTTACGTTTGGAAGCAAGTGGCCCTCCTATATTAGGCATCAGCCTACCCAGTGCGGTCAAGGTTCTTTCATTCAAAGACCTTTCGTATAACTTGATTTATATGCTCGCCGAATGTAAGCTTTGAATCAAGCCAAACTCCAAGGCATTTTTTGGTGAAATTGTTGTACCAAGAAGCTCAAATGAAATATGAAGAGTTTCCTCTTGGTGGTTAATAAAACCGCTTCAGTTTTGCTTGGTGCTAGTTTTAAATTGTTCCTTAAAGAATTAGAAGACAAGTAAGACCTCTTTAGGTCTTACTTGCTCTTCTTCTACTTTTTCTTCTTTTACTTTCTCTTCTTCTTTGTCTTACTTGAGACGTTTAGACTCTCAGGTACTTTGCGCAAACCAAACTGTACCAATAAATCGTAAAGTGTGAACAGAAATCGTTAGTCTGTGCCGTTCGAAAATTTGGCTGGAGTAAAATCTGTCTCGTCTTGATTTTAAACTGAGAGTTCCAAAAACTTAATTAATTAACAATTCAAAAAATGATTTATTTTAAAAAAATCGAGAACTACCGGATTTTTTCTGTATTGGCATCCCTTTTAATACCGTAACCATAGCTCTAAACATGGTAATATTAGTCTCACTAACCTACCACCTCTAAAAATATTTACCCTTATTTAAAATTCACCCTGTAAAGGATCGCGGTACGGACTCCGCATAAAAAATAGGTCTTCTCCAGTTTAGCTCTGGTCAAAGAATATTATAGTGAACTAGAATTATCTTTGCTCTGACATAGCAAAAAGACTTTACTTCTTATCTGTTTATCTGTCTTTTGCAAAAGATACAAACTGGAATATGCCATTCTGTTGTGGAGACATAATTTAGGGATTTTATAATAGAACCAATTTTTTATAAATAATATTAGCTTTAAAGCAAACAAGAAATAGGTAGTAATAATATTATTAATTTGTTTTTAGAAGTACTGCCTGATGCTCTAGACAACGAATGCTCCAAATGCAGCGAGAAACAAAGAAATGGTGCCATCAAAGTAGTTCACTACGTCATCGACAACAAACGGGATTGGTGGAACGAAGTCGCAGCCAAGTACGACCCCGATGGCACATACTTGAAAAAATATGAAGAACAGGCAAAGAAAGAGAACATTAACTTGTAAATTTTATAAAGAGCATTGTGATTACCGGAAGAAAAAAGATTTTATAAAGTTATAAAAAATACTTATATAGCTTTTATTTATTTAATGTAATAAAGGCTTGTGAAAACTGTTATATTTAGTATTTGATTGTTCTTATGTGTCATATTGTGGACGTTAATTATTATTTTCTATAAACACATTCTAAATTAGATCTGTTGATCAAGAATTCAAGTTGCAGTCATTGTAGTATGTTGTGAGCCAATTCCACTACATTATTAACATCACAGCTTATCAGTACCCAACGAGGGGCATATCACGGGGGTATTTTAGCGTAACACTAGAAATTGCAGGGAAATTTTACGATATTTCGAGGAATTTCGGGGAATTTCAAGGGTATTGCTTAATATTTTACAAAATTCCTTTAAAATTTTGACAATTTGGCAAACGCGCATATTAAGCGAAAAACTAAAATGCAGTGTAGCTGATTGTGTCATTTTTAAGAAAAGTGTGAGAGAAATTATCCCATTATCCACATTTAGTTTATGATTAGTGATGGCAAGTCACCCTTTATCTGTGGTAAGCTCGGCCACATGTTATCAAGGAGAGTAGTCCCGATTTGTTTATTGTATCGTTAATATTTACCTAATATTGTATTGAAGTTAAAATACGCGTTGTTTTCTGTCTCTATCTGTAATATCAGGAAAACTATTTATAAATCTTTTAATAATTAATTAAACAAAAATATACTTAAATTATATTTCTTCCGAAAAATATGAAAGTATGTTGCGAACTAAGCCGTGGTATGTTCCATATTTCTATTTTTTCCTCTGTATAACTTTAAAGATCAAGTATGACTGTTCTACCTCTAGGACAGGGTTTCTTAAACTTTTTGCAGTCACGGACCACTTTCGCAATTTGTACAATTCCACGGACCCCTATCAGAAATAATAGAGGAAAATTAAAAAAAAGTCTCTTGCTCTGTTAATTATTTTGACACATGTAGACATAACTTCCTTCACGAATGTAGGTAAAGTCCGTGAGGCCAAGACATGACGATGCAAGATACAATGAGTTATTATGACATGAGGAATCTCGTTCTTGACCAAAGCCGCGAAACCAGACGTATTACCAAGCATTGCGGGGGCTCCATCGGTGCAGATACTACCAACTTTAGTCTTCCAGTCTATATTTTATTCGATGAAAAACCTTTTTGTCATTTCAAAAACATCTGAGGCCTTTGTAGTCTCCAAAAGTGAATTGCAAAAAAGAAACTCTTCTTTAATACTACGTATGTCTTGTTGTACGTAACGGACAAATACCAAGAGTTGGCTACATTGTGACACATCGGTGCTTTCATCCAATTGAATACTGAATGGAAATGGTGAAGCAATTAATTCTTCAACAACTTGTAAAACATTTGACGACATTTCAACAATTCTAGAATGAATAACATCGTTTGATAAGGGAACAGCTTCAACTTTGTTTTTTTTTGGATCCTTACGCGCATCGCGTAGTGTTTAGTGATTAAATACCGACTGAATTCGCCGCCGTACACTATTTATTTTCTTAATAAATATGTTTACAGTTAACTGGCGTAATGCGGATCGCGGACCCCTGATACACGTGCTATGGACCCCTAAGGAGTCCATGGACCACACTTTAAGAAACCCGGGTCTAGGAGATGCGAGACCTTGTCGTTGGTGGGGAAGCTCCTGATCAGATGCTAGGGGAAATCCCCTCTTGCACTTTGGCTGGGTCTAAGGAGCAGTCAAGACTAGCCTATATCTTGGGACCCAATGAATACAACCCATTGTATTCTCGTCTCCCTTACTTCTACATGCAGGGCTCTGTAGAAGTTGTCCAACTAACCCTTGTGGTGTAATTGCCCTCAAATCCAAGGAGGCAATAGAGAAAGAGGGATATATCGTCTATTATAGATTCTGGACAACACCGGTATCGTAGGAGAGACTAAGTTAAAGAGGTGGAGAAAATGGAGATAGATCCTCCAGCCTCTACCTCACGGGTACCTCAGCCAGAGACAAGCTCACCGACTGTGAAGGGCGCGGAGGGCTAAATCCCAAACGTGGGGGACTATAGGGGGAAGAGGCCCACTCCTCCAAGGAAGAACATCTGTTGTGATAGGAGGATGCGAAATACCCTGTCAACTCTACAACAGGATGTATGATGAGTTATAGAAATATAACTCAAGAAAAGGGGACACAATAGATCTTTAAGGTCGCGGTGATTAACCCCCTCTCTTACTCATTCTACATTCTACAAGTATGCCTATTTTTTGCGTCGCGACGTAATAAAACGTTCAATGTATTAGGGAGTACAACATCGAATATCTTTTGGTGATCACCCGTACTCACCCTCTTTCATATTTCTAGATGGTAGCTAGGAACAAGGGTATTTCAAGGTCTATGCGACTTTGTAGAAATATAGTGTTGCGGGCCGGTGTGGACTCGACCTAACCTCACAATATGGCCCGCCCTCGGATGACCTTAACATCGCATAGACACCGCAATGATTCATTCGTTCGAGAAGAATCGAGTCCCACTGGAATGGACTAGTACATACGAGAACATTCGAAAACCTTCTCTACGCACCTAACGATCTATGGACAATTCTAGAGTTCTTTACCTGCCGGTATAAAAGCCGGCGGCCGTGGCCTACAGGGGGCAGTTATAAATATACAGTTGACGCGCTAAAATTCAAAATAAATTCTTAGTTATAAATCGTTTGTAAATAGTTCTTTAAGTTTTTTTATCGTTATTGTTTTTGTTAATTAGTGTTAAATAAATAGTGTTTAAATAAATTGTGACTTTCTATCCACACGGAACCGACGAAAAACGTAACAATTGGTGTCAAGTGTGGCGTGTGTGATAGACAAGAAAAATAAAAAGACTGACCATGGCTCTGAAAAAATTGTTGAAAGACTTGAAAGTGTCCGAACTGAAATGTATATTGGAAGAGAGAGAGTGCGAGACAGATGGAAAGAAAAGCATTTTGCAAGCTAGACTGAGAGACGTTTTGGTGGAGGAAGGTGAGGATCCTGACACATTTTGCTTTGAGTTGGAAGGTGACCTTGACTCGTGCCTACAAAAAATTAGAAAATAAAATGACAGAGAATTCTCAAAATTAGACGACAACTTGAACAATTTGAATAGTAAAATGATTAACTTGGAAGAGAATTTGAATGATAAAATGACAGAGAATTCTCAAAAATTAGAAGACAGTTTGAAAGATAAAATTGTGGAAAATTCCCAGGATTTAATTAATATTTTAGAGGATAAAATCATAGAAAATTCTAAAGATCTACAAGCCAGTTTCAATGACAAAATACTTAATTTAGAAGAAAGTTTAAACAATAAGATTATAGAGAATTCTACGGAACTACAAAGACAAAATAACGGAGATTGAGGAAGATGTAAATAGAAAAATCGAAATTTTGAAAGAACAAATAGCAAAGACAAATTCACCAAAATGTCAAGAAACATCGGAGGCACCGAAACTAGTCGAAAATAAGTATATCTCAAAGTCAGTTATTAAGCCTCCACAGTTTGACGGAAAAACCGCTTGGGCCAATTATTTTTGCCAGTTTGAGGCCGCTGCGAGCGAACGGATGGACAATCGCTGAAAAGGCTACCGCTTTGACTGTCGCACTGCGAGGAGATGCGACTGATATTCTGCAGACATTGTACCATCGGAACAGGGAGATTATCAGCAATTGGTACGACATTTAGAAATGAGGTACGGCCAAGCTCATTTGGAACATGTCTATCATTCCCAGCTAAAAAATCGCATTCAAAAGTCAAATGAGTCTCTGCAGGAGTTTGAAGCCGACGTAGCCCGCCTCGTTCGCCTTGCGTACCCTGCTATGCCCGAAAATGTTATGGAGCGCTTAAAAGTACAGGCTTTTATTGATGGTTTATGTGACAACGAGACAAGGCAAACACTTCTTTTAGCTCATCCAACGCATTTGGGAGATGCCCTAGCACGTGCCCTGGAATTTGAGGCCGCGAAAGAATGCTCTAGGTCTCTAGGATTTGTACGGGCTGTTGAGGAGAGTTCCGACGATTCCAAAGTGGAAAGGATTGTGCGGAAAGTACTGGATCAGTATATGAGTAAGAAGGGGGGACCGATTCGCTGTTGGAATTGCGGACAGATGGGAAATCGTTGCAAAGAAGAGAAAGAAGTGAAAGTCTTAAGGACGACTGTGGTTGGTGATAGTTGGCAAACCGAAGATCTTGCAAATGACCAAATCAGTGATCCAGAGTTGGGCTTGGTGATTAACTGGAAAAACGCGGACCAGAGACCAACGTGGGAGGAAGTTTGCAGATATTCGCCGAACGTGAAGTCGTACTGGTCCCAGTGGAATTCATTGGTAATAGATAACGGATTACTTCGCCGTGTGATTGTGAGACCAGAGGGACAAGAAGAGAGAAGGCAGATTGTCATTCCAAAGAGAGAGGGTCCCGGAAGTCTTGGCGGAAGTTCACAATGGAACCAGCGGTGGACATCTTGGTGTTACCAAGACACTTGGCAAGCTGCGTGAACGGTTCTACTGGGTGAACTGCAAAGAAGATGTGAGGGCCTGGTGTAAGAAATGTGACATTTGCGCAGCCATTAATGGGCCACAAAAGCGTGGTAAAGCCCCTATGCGCCAGTACAATGTTGGTAGTCCCTTCGAACGAATAGCGATCGACGTGGCTGGTCCTTTCCCGGAGACGAACGATGGCAACAAATACATTGTGGTAGTAATGGATTACTTCAGCAAATGGGTCGAGGCCTACGCGTTGCCAAATCAAGAAGCGTCCACGATTGCTGATGCTCTTAAGTTAAGGAATGGATCTGCAGGTTTGGTGTTCCCATGGAGCTGCATTCAGATCAGGGAAGAAACTTCGAGTCCAATCTGTTCCAAGGCGTCTGTGAAGTCCTTAACATCCGCAAGACCAGGATGACGGCTCTACATCCACAATCCGATGGGATGGTTGAACGCATGAACAGAACCATCAACCGTTATTTGGCCAAAGTAGTCTCTGACCACCAAAGAGACTGGGACAAATTCCTTCACCTGTTCCTGTTGGCCTACCGCTCATCCGTCCAAGAATCCACAAGGCAAACTCCAGCCAGCATCGTTATGGGACGGGAAGTGCGTCTACCTTGTGATCTGAAGTTTGGTTGCCGACCGGGAGAAGATGTCGCTGGAGAAGATTATGTCCACAGACTACGTCAAAGGATGGACGACATCCATCAGCGAGTCCGCTTAAATATTCAAAGCGCTAGTGACCGAATGAAGGAGCACTACGACATTCACGCTGAGCATGGGGGATACCAACCAGGGAATTTGGTGTGGCTGTACAACCCACAGAGACGTCGTGGATTATCTCCGAAGCTACAATCCTCGTGGGAAGGCCCATACGAAGTCATGGATAGGATTAATGACGTCGTATACCGTATCAGAAAATTGCCAAAAGGAAAACCGAGGGTAGTCCATTTCAACCGTTTGAGCCCCTACCAAGGCGAAATAGAAGATCGTGCTAGGACCGTGAGAACCTACAGCTTTGATCCCCCTGATTCGGAGATGTCCTTTGACGATTTCATGGCCCGATATAACAGCAGTGAGAAGGCTCGCTATGGTGTAACCAAAGAAGATCAACGAGACCTCTTTTCCGTGCCTCCTGATTATTCGCTCGCTCATTGTGTGGCTCGAGATTTGCGGATGTCCAGAGGAATCGCTGCGACGTTCAATGAGAAGTTTGGGCGTGTCGGAGAACTACGCCGACAGGATCCAGAGGTTGGAAGCGTCTTGAGGCTAACCGACAATGGATTCGATGGTTTGAGTTGGCGTACAATCCGGAACATGATTGAAGTCTTGTTCAGATTTACGGGAATCGGGATCCTCGTTTGCTGCTACAACCCAAAGCTGAGATCGGGAAAGAAAACTGTAGACTGCTATTTCTACCAGACTTCGCAATGTACCAGGGGCCAGCTTTGCAAATACCTTCATTCACCGTATACATCTCGGGACGAGCATGTACCTAAGAAGGGGGCAGTGTTGCGGGCCGGTGTGGACTCGACCTAACCTCACAATATGGCCCGCCCTCGGATGACCTTAACATCGCATAGACACCGCAATGATTCATTCGTTCGAGAAGAATCGAGTCCCACTGGAATGGACTAGTACATACGAGAACATTCGAAAACCTTCTCTACGCACCTAACGATCTATGGACAATTCTAGAGTTCTTTACCTGCCGGTATAAAAGCCGGCGGCCGTGGCCTACAGGGGGCAGTTATAAATATAACAGTGCAGTTGACGCGCTAAAATTCAAAATAAATTCTTAGTTATAAATCGTTTGTAAATAGTTCTATAAGTCTTTTATCGTTATTGTTTTTGTTAATTAGTGTTAAATAAATAGTGTTTAAATAAATTGTGACTTTCTATCCACACGGAACCGACGAAAAACGTAACAATAGGTACACTAGGCATTTGTTCAGTCCCATTTACGCTCAAATTAGTATTTTCATTTGAAAACTAGACTTTATTTCTAGATATAGAAAAAAGATTGAAAATAAAAGTTGTAGGGCTTTGCCTAAACCGCTATGGTCTTTTATCGCAATAAGAAAATTAAGAGGGCAAATCTGTCGAAAAAATATTAATTCGTATTATTTAAATACAAAATCCTGTATATTCAATATTCAGATATTGAATAAAAGGTATTCCATTGTATTTAAGAATTTTATTTTACTTATGTTAGCAAAGACCACATTTTGTTTGTTATTGGTTAGTTATGTTTTAATTTGTTTTAAAGTGCTATAACAACAATATTTTTTGATGTTCTTGCTTACCCGTTGGGTATATACCGGATACAAAACATCGGGTATTTACCCAAATTTCAATATACCGGGTGTTACCATTTATGCTAATTGCCTTGGACTGTTATTCTTTTAATGTCTATTGTCTATCTTATTGTCTAATCTAATTTAATTTACTTATATTAGAATTATCATTTTAATATTGCCTTAGCAGAAATTGTGTCTGTATTAATGTAAGTCTGTATTAATGAGTGTCTAGATTGATACAAATATCTTATTGCTAAAAAAATTAAAAAGTGTTCACGAATCACGAAAATTTTCTCCATTAAGTATAAAAAAATTGTGTGCGCCCTGTGCGTATACATGAAGTGAAACTTCTTACTAACAGCTATTAAATTGAAGGATTTGAATAATATTTGTTTGTTTATGAATGTTTTTCATAAATTTCAAATAAAAATAGAGGTGATCTCTCCAAAAAAATCCTTTATGGTTATTTCGCCACATGCACTGCAAGAAAATCTACAAAATAAGATAGTTATTTTTTGTAAACGCTTCTGCGTTAAACCTAAACAGAATAAATTTTAATTACGCCAAAACTATAATGAAAGAAGCGATAGCCTCTAAAAGAAAAATAAAAGAGGCTTTTTTAATACAATCTAATAAAAATAAATGTATTGCTCATGCATCTGTAGATGTTAGTAATGTATGGCAATCGCTTCTTTGATTTTAAAGAACATAACATAAATAAACATAACATACGTAAAATTTAAAAATATCATACAGAAAGTTTGGGGCTTTTTGGTTTTACCTTATTAAGTAATTGTTATCAGGTAGTAATTGTTAATTTTGAAGTTTAACTTGATATGCCATTTTTAACAGAACGTCAACAGTTTCTTGTAGACGTATCTGTTTTAATCTCGAATAGTTGAATTTAAATATTTTAAATAGTTTTTTTTTCTTTATTCTTTGTATTTTTTTGCTTCCGACGACCGAAAGAGATAACTTTCCGAAATGTTAAGCATTTTTTTCTTTGTTGGGCAAATTTGTATTACTATAAACATAACTTCTGACAAGCAGCGTCCGTTTATGTTTAACGCAGAAGTGTTTACAAAAAATAACTATTTTATTTTGTAGATTTTCTTACAGTGCATGTGGCGAAATACCCATAAAGGATTTTTTTGGAGAGATGAATCCGCCACATAGATATAGACATTTTTTACAATAGAGGTGATATAAAACCGTATACTCTTATAGCTTTATAATTTTATGTTTTTTTTTTAATTATTTTTATTAAAAACGATAATTCTATTACCTGGCCGGATAGCTATGGCCTTAAACCAAAATACTACTATATCTATATCTCTGACTACTACTAACTGCTACTAACCAACATTTTGTTTTGTGTAGTCTGTTTTTGTTTAAATGTTTTGTTCATTATTCATGGTGGGAATTTATTTTTAAATTAATTTTAATGGTTAGGCAACCAGTAAACTCATAAAATATGTATTTCTTTTACATAATCAAAATTGTCACTATAAATTTTACATAACCACTCTAAATTGCAGTCTTATTTAGACAGATGTCACTTGTCTTTTTATTATCCAATTCATTATTCGAATTCTCAGAATGTTGTTAACAAAAGTTTCATATTAAAATAAAATTTTAATCAATCACAATTGTTTATCTCCATCATTTACCGGATTAATAATACAGAAATTGCTGCTCAATTACAAACAATGCATTATTTATAGTGATTTACAGTAATTTTATTAAATTATACGAATATTCTCGTTGATTATTGGTTTGAAACAAATCTGACAGTGTCCTCGATTGAAAATGCGAGTTACTAACTCTAAATTCTAATTGTGAGCTAGCAAATGAGCTAGATGCCATCCCTAGACCGTTATTCAGAACCTACAAACCTATGTATGAAAATATGCATGAAATAAAGGTTAGTACAGTTTCAAGTTTATTATAGCTATTTTCTTAGCTGCGTATGGCAGAGATCGTTACCGAGTGTTGCCACAAGCTTATTTTTCACCGGGGTAGATTATCACGAGATAACGGGGTTAAACAGTTTTACAAAGGATCTATTTTTATTTCACTAGGTAGATCTACCCCGAATGAGGTAGATGTGGCAACACTGCTGCTGTCACTTTTCCTCTCGCTAGTTCGCGCGTCACGGCCATCTCGCATGCGTCTCGCGGCCGTCATTCAAGGTCGTGTGTTTAAAAAAACTGTTATATTTTCCAGATAAATAAATCTTTAATTTTTTTATGGTATTTCAAAGATACTGAAAGTAGATACGGTTTGAAAGCAATGATAATAATTTATTTATTATTTAATACAATAATCATTTCGTTCGTAATATAATGTTTCAGATATTATAATTCCTATAATTTGATTCCTCTTTCTTGAAGCTCCTTTTCGTACTTCTTCCTGTATATTCCGTTAGGATCGTATTTAGCTTCTAATTCGTCAAACAATTCTTTCCTTTTTTCTATCAGGAATGTGAGAGCTTTCTCACCAATTTTCCTTTGCTTTTCGCTACATTTCTGGCAATTGTTTTCTAATGCGTCAGGTATATTTTCTAAAAAAAAATGATAATATTTGATATAATTGGGTATAGAGATAATTTTAAACAGAGCTGCTTTTATCGATAGATTCCTCGGTTTTTTGTATTCGTCTCAATATCTTTATTTATATTAGAGATATTCGGGAGTTTAAAGAAGACAGTAGATATCAAGATAATAAGTTTTAGTATTAAAAGTTCCTTCCAGTCTTCCAGTTTGGATTTAATCAACACACCTATAAAATATTTTTTTTTTCAAACGTCACAAAAGTATTAATTTTTGCAACGTTGATTGATAAAAATATAAAAAAAGTTATTTTAACACATAGGCATAAAAATAAAGCATTTTTACGCCTCAGCGCCAAAGTATGAAAATATATTATTAAACTGACATAAAGTGTGAAGTGTCAAATTCAACGAGCCTCCCTCTCCTATATAATTACATACAAGGTATTACTTTTAAATCTTTTTATATTATTTGGAACGTTTGAAATTGTTTAAAAAATTATTTGTGGCGTTTGAAAAAAATAGCATGTTCTATTCGAAGTAAAAATGACTTTATGGGTTCGCTGTATGTCTACAGCCTCGCTACAAACCTCGCTACAAACCTACAGCCTCGTCTACAGCCTCGCTACAACTACAGCCTCGCTACAAAAAGTGTCATTTTTACTCCTAATAAAATAATATACTATTAGTGTTTTTGTAATGTCACCGTCATTGGAAAGTCATAACATTGTTGCTTGTTGACAGTCCAGAAGTTATATAAGTAGGCTATTGTTGTTTTAATTGTAAGATGTGATAGATATTTCAACTTCTAGGACTTTAAACCGATTTTTAAAACCTTGGAGTAACCAGGATCGGACTGGGATAGAGGGGCCCGGGTGGCATTGCCACTTTAAGGAATTTCTTCAAGCCTGGGTTAATTGTAAATGGGAAAGTATGGGTTGATAATAATAAAAATTAATAATTTGCAATTAGTTGTATTAAAAGATAAATATCGGGTGCGTCTCAAAATTGGCTCACCCCTATAACTTTTTTTATTTTTTTAGTTAAAAAAACGAGATTTGGTATGTTAGTATATGACATAAATAAGGATTGAGTGACCTCTTCACTTGTTTTTAGTCACTTCCGGTTTCACCAAACTTCTGATTTTTAAATGGCACCCTCGGTATTTTTTAAATTATTCGAGAGAAAATGACATTTTGAATAGAATGACATATCATATGTCAATTTTGACATTTTTGCATATGGTTTATTTGAAATTATACATTGCGGTTTGTAACGAAAATTTGACACGAAATACCAAGTGTGTGGTATCAAATTATTCGTAAAAAATGCTTTTTCCAAATATGCTAATGAACCACCCTCGTTTCATTTGAAAAAATTGAGATATGATTAAAAATACGATTTGAGCATTTTCTAACTGGCCAGGACAAGACACTAGAAACATTAGACGATCGAATCTATTTTTCCAAGGCTCATTGATTAAGAATTAGTGTTTTTAACATAGCCACGGCGCTCTAGATTGAATTTGAAAATACAATTTTTTATTAAGCGAGAATGTCAAAAGTTGACATATAATATGTCATTCTATTCAGAATGTCATTTTCTATCGAACGAAGTAAAAAAATACCGATGGTGTTATTTAAAAATCAAAAGTTGTAGTCATTTCCGGTAAAACAGGAAGGGACCAAAAACCAATTGAATACGTCAGTCAATCCTAATTTATGTCATATACTAACATACCAAATCTCGTTTTCTATCTGAAAAAATAAAAAAGTTATAGTGGTGAGCCACTTTCGAGAAGCACCCGGTATAGTTTCAATTTATTGAACTTTATTAAGCTAGCCAATCCACATTTATTGTAAAGAGAGTAGAAGTAGTCAATAAGTCGATCATTAAAACTGCTATTCTCCTTTCCCTGACTAAAGAAAAATAAATATATTAAATATTACTTAGTATAATCACAAGTTATGGACCCACGTATAAATAAGAAGAACATTATAACTAAATATAAGTTTAATTTTACTAATTAATTTATATCTATCTTAAAATTTCTTGATATGACACTAGATTGAAAGTGAAATTATTATACTAAGAAAAACGACATCCAATGCCGTGACTGATAAATATTGTTAATCCAAAAAAAAATTCGGGATAACCTCAGAATATTATCGGCACTTTTTTCTGTTCCATTTCTAGTTAAGAATAAAAGAATTATTTTACCTTTAGGTCATAAGACAGAGGGAGGTCCGCGGAGGCCGAGGCCCAACTGACAATCGCTACCCTGACTATATGGTCACTCTCTCCATGAAAGTTAAGCTTCATTCGGAACCTCGCAATTAGTGGAATAAATTAGCCGTTTCGATTACACTTTATACTTTTTAGTTTGTTTAATTCACAATGTTTAAAAAACACAATTAAAATGAATAGAATATCCTAGCAACAGCTTGCAATAATCAGTTCTATCGATAGAGAAAGTCTAATATTTAGCTTATAGAACAATCAACTTTTGATTTCTAACCACAATTTCTCTTGACGGAAGATAATCAAAGGCGAAAATGACATTTCTCGCAAATTTTGAAGTTTAATTAGTGGATAAGTTAATAGTCTGAAAATTTTTTCTACTAATTGAAAATGTCTACTACTAATTTTGACGTTCTGAATGCTTACATTGAAATTAAAGGAACGAACTTCTACGCTAATTGAAACCACTAATTTATTCCACTAATTGCGAGGTTCTGAATGAAGCTTTACTGCCAACAAACAACAATAATTTGAGTTTTCAATGACGGTGACATAAACAATACTATTTCATTGGTGGATTGATTGGGGCGAAACGCAAAAGCAAATTTATTAAAAACTAATAAGCTTCATTCTGAACCTCCCAATTAGTGGAATAAATTAGTGGTTTCAATTACACTTTATACTTTTTAGTTTACGATCATTCACAATGTCTAAAAAACACAATTAAAATTAATAAAATATCCTAGCAACAGCTTGCGGTAGTCTGTTGTATCCATAGAGAAAGCAAAATATTTAGCTTATAAAACAATAAACTTTTGATTTCTAACCAAATTTTTTCTTTTAGTGGAAAAGTCAAAAGTTTGTTAACTTTTTCGACTGATTGAAAATTACTACCACTAATTATAACGTTCTGAATGCTTACATTAAAATTAGGTGAACAAACTTCTACGACTAATTGAAACTACTAATTTATTCAACTGATTTCGAGGTTTTGAATGATGCTTTAGGCAAACTAATTATATATAACTTGGACTTGAATATTTAACTTGGAATTATATAACGGACGGACCGACGTGTTGTTAAACAATTATACTTACTTTTTAATTCAGCAGCTTCCGTTGTGCATCTTCCTCTATCCATAAGACAATTCATATAGTTTTTCAGCAACCTGTCGCTTTCCAGAACTTCATCTATGTTGAAATTGTCGTATTTTGAGGTGTACTTTTCCTCTTCCGGTCTTCCATAACACACACCACCGAATATAACAAAGACACAACTTGCTAAAATAACCGTTCTCATTGTTTGACGTTCGCTGACCAATTATCTGAATAGTTACATTTTTCGTTAATATAAATAGGATGGCAAGGAGCAACGATTAGGCAAATTACCTTAATTGAAAAACCCTCTCAATTAGTGATGTAATTAATGAATTTTATTTTTTATATTGGAATTTTTTGATGATAGTTTTTTTGCTCATTTTACGAAGTTTAATTACTTATTTCGCGGCTTTTACGAGGGTGTGTAATTAGTTCAAATTCACTAAAATATTAACAAAAGATTTAATAAACTATCCGCTGCCAGAGAGGTTTTTACATGCATAATAAGTATATTAAAAGCATAAAATACTAACAGTATGTGAAAAGTTGAAATAATAACACTAATTTATTTAGTTATTAAGTTATTAAGTACCAAAAAAGAACAAATTTGTGTCTTTAGCTTAAAAACGTGCTAACCACTTTTACGGACAATACATCAATTGGGCTCAAGGCAAAACCTCTAAATTTATCGTTACAGTCGTACCCCCCCCCCCCTGGTAGGTGAGAAACATGCCAAATAACTCTGTTTTGTTATTTTGACACTTCCCTTATTTCTTACTTACAGTCTTCAATTATTGTTTCTATTTATGAACTTCTTCTAGGAGATGTGAGTTCTTGTCGTTGGTGGGAAACTCTTAATCAGGTGCTAGGGGAATTCCCTCTGGCTCTTTGGCTAGATCTAAGAAGCATCTCACTGTTTTGTCCCTGGCTGTGGTGTCGTGCCCAGGAAATTGCACCTAGTCGTATAACATACCGGATGGGACTACCCTGTCCGTTATACAAGGCACCCTTCACTGTCTGTGGTCATGTCTCACGGGTGTTCGGAGTCTTCGCTTTACTGCCCGGACGAAGAGTAGACAACCTCACCAATAACTCCTAAGGTCAAAGTGATGCTTGGCTAGATAAAAGACTAGCCTCTACTGTTCTGAACATTGTGGCACCGGGGGGCACCTCGTTGTATTTACTCATTACTGCTACATGCGGCGCTCTGTAGAAGTGGACCGACTAACCCTAGCGACTCGTGGGAACACTATGAAATCAAGTATAAAGAACACCACCGGTGAAGCTGTATCGAAACCCCCTAGCAACACTGGGAACGATATTAATGCATGTACCAAGAGACCAATCCCAAAGGGAACTACAGGAGAGGCGACTGACACTTGCGCGAGACCAGCTTCCACAAGTGGCACACAAGCTATTATTTTCTTTAGTAAGGGTCGGGAGCCTACCTCTAGACCCAACAAGCTACCGTTTAGTCTACCCGGCCTGGATCAACCAGGCTTATCAACCAAGTTTGACAACCAAGTCTTATCGAAGCACAGACCAAAGAAGTACGCAGATACCTCCGCCAACTCCACAAAGGACTAGCTCAAGAAGAAGCAAAAGCAAAAATACTTCTTGAAAAAGGGGATAGGTACAAAGGTACAAAGAAACATACTGGCGCATCTCCACCAAAAAGTAAGCTCCAATGTAAGGACATCGAGTTGGCGAGTCATCAACTCGAGGGAGGAGAACCATGGTCAGATCCTCAAACTAGGAAATTACCTTCAATCCAAGGAGGCAATAGAGAAAAAGGTATATATCCTCTTTTATAGATTCCGGACAACACTGATATCAGGTCTAAGGAGTAACCAAGTTAAAGAGGTGAAGAAAATGGAGACATATCTTCCAGTCCCCACCTAACGCATACCTCAGCTGGAGAGAAGCTCCTCGACTGTGAAAGGTGCGGAGGGCTAAACCCCAACCGTGGAAGGGTGTATGTACATACGCTCGTAGAAGGTAGATGCCCGCTCCTCGGAGAATGAACATCTGTTGTCAGAAGAAGATGAGAAATACCCTCTACCCCCTACAACAGAAAGATATCCATAAATGATGAGTTATAAACTGTATGATGAGTTATAACTCAAGAAAGGGGGACACAATAGACTTTTAAGGTCGCGGTGATTAAACTCTGCGGTTAAGTTACTACTAATTTTACATTATACATTCTTCTATTTATGAAAGAGAACATTCAAAAGTGTAAAAAACTTATAACTATAATATACTATATGATTTCTGTAGGCGACGAACCATATATGCTGTTTTATGTAAAAAATATTGTCATACTAGAATAAATCCATTATATTTAGAATTTCATATTATTCAAATACTTTTCTATCATCCATTTACTTACAAATTTAATTAAAAAAATTATATTACTAATTATTTAATTTATATTTTTATTTTATTGCAAAAATAAAATGCTTTTTGTTTAACCAAGTATGAAAACAAAAAAAAACCTATACCATCCTCAGAATCTTAATTATTCTTTTTAATAATTAATCCTTTAAAAAATAAGTATATTGCAATAATACACAAGGATATTATTTATATCAAATTTGTTGACTTTCTGTACAAAATGGTGAAGGAGATTTTTAAATAATGATTCTAGTTTTATGGGATATAAAAAAATATTGGCGAAGAATGAATGGTCATTATTATATATTTATTAGCAATTTAATAAAATACGCTTTTAGATGCATCAAAAAAAAATTAACTTATTCACTTATACTTTTACAGTTTACATTAAACTACCTTCCTAATTTAACTAACAAAATATCAAATAATCTCAATATAATAGGATGTAAAACTATTAACGTAAATAAATAAAATTCCAATTTTATTAAATAATAAAGACAAAACTAATGTCAAAAATAAGTCGGGTGTATATAAGGTGGATTGCGATGATTGTGATGCTGTGTACCTTACATAGGCCAAACAGGTAGAAATTTAGATATAAGGATTAAGGAACATGTAAAGTCTATTAATAATCTCTAGCAAAGTTCTGGTCTCGCAACTCATTGTATAGTAAATAGTTACAAAATTAATGAAAACTCAATTAAGTTACCACATAGAGAAACAAAAGGCAGACGCTTAAATTACCTTGAACAGTTACACATACTAAAATCTGTTAAAAACTAAAATAATGTTAACGACCGACAAGGATTTTTAAACACATTTTTATTACCCTTATTGTAAACTCTCTGAATCCACCCCCATAGCAAATATATACGTATATAGTTACAGTGTAGTTAGACGATTAGTTTTTAAAAATCTCTTGAAAAAGGCCTAACAACCCGAAACATCTTATGTAGAGTTAAAGTTACTCTTATTAATTTTCTTTGATACATTTAAAAGCGTGTTTTATTAAAATACTAATATTTCAACGATGTTTCACAAGGAACAAACCACAGCCTCAGTACTATATATTTATTTGCATATATTCTGTAAATTCTAGATGTTATTCTGATATTTTTTATCAAGAAAATTAAAAAAAATATATAATTTATAAATGCTCTATACTCCCTGTAAACTGCACATAGCAATACTTCTAACGTCTAATACTCTTATAATAATAGAGATTTTTTTTAGTTTATTTCGTTATTTAGTTTGAAATCCAGAAATTTTCCCTATATATCATCCATTATAAAAATCTGTATTATTTTTTCCAGAAATTAAATTAAATCACATGATGTAAAATGCCAATTAATTAATGACAAATTATATGTTAATATAATGTAGGTATGCCAGAAGTAAAATATATTATTTATATAGTTTCTTAAAAAAGTTTTTGTATTAACAAAGATTTAGACAAAATGCGTTTTAATAAAATTACAGGTGATAACTTATTTCCAATCTGAATAATATTTACATCTAGTAGGAAATACTACCTTTAAAAAAACCTCGTATACTACATAAACATCAATAATTTAATTGAAAACATGCTAAATATACGTTAATAGCTTAATTACTTTTATACTCTCGATCGATTTGCCAAGGTCTCTGGTACAGGACATAACAAAAAATCGAAATATTACGATATTTTAGCAAAAAAATTACATAGGTGATTGAAAAATATTCTACAGTCGGTTTTTCTCTAGACCTATAATACAGAACACAAATTGATATCAAATCATCATACGTCTTTTATTACTGATAAAAAATCTATGTTCTACAAAGTCAATTTTTCTCTTTTTAGTTCTTCGTTGTATGCTCTTCTGTAAACACCCTGTGGATCGTAAATTACTTCTAACTCCCTAAACCATTGCGGTCTGTTTGTGATCAAATGTCGAATAATTTTCCGACTTCCTGCTTTTTGAGCTTCACTACATTTCGAACAAGCAGTTTGTAAAGCATCAGGTAGGTTTCCTACAATATGAAATAAATTTATTAGCATACTAGAGATAATAGTTATTTTTTATACAAGACGATAAAATGGTATTTTACTGTCGACCAAAAAAGCTTAATTCACGAGCGATGAAATCGCGAGTGAATTAATTTCGGGAGACGATAATGCAATTTAATCGTCGTGTATAAAACAATATTTTTTTCCATAGCGAGTTACGTTTTAAAAAATATTCAGAATTTATTATTTCAAGGAATTTATTACGAGTAGAAAGAATATTGTACTGGGTTGGCGTTGGTTTCTACGTAATTTGACAAATAAATAAAGCTGTCTCTTTAGTTGCCAGTTTTGAGTCAAAATTTTTTAATTCTCTTTCGTGTCGATTGCTGATTGATTTGGAGCCAGAAATGGCCCAAAACGAAATAAGTAAATTACCAACAGATATTCAGGCTGAAGCGACAAACGCCATATCTAAACTACTTCCATTTAAATCCCGAATAACTTATGAAAAGGAATATAAAAATTTTCAAAAATGGAAGCAATTAAAAAACGTGCGAGAAGAAATAAAGTTTTTAACTTATCCTCGCTTTTAAAGTATCATTTAATCTACCCTTGCGGCTAAAGTACTATTTTATCTACTATTTTTGATAGATATAAGGTAATATTAACAGTTGCTGTGGAAAAAATATAATTACTGATTCTGGTTTTGCGGTCTTTGTCTTGGTCTTGCAAAATAAGCAAATCCAAAACTAATACCAAGACTAGAGTTAGGTTTGCAAGACCAAGACCGAGTAGTGCCAGACTTACGCAAGATCAAGACCTAACACGCAAGACTCTTGTGGTCTTGCGATTTATTTTCTCACGTTTTTTATTTGCTTTTAGTAAAAATAGTAATTAAAAAATAAGATTTTTTTATTTACACTTGCTCACAATCTATGAAATTAAAAAAAATTGTGTGTGCATTATGTGCGCAGATTTGAAGTGAAACTTCTTATTAACAACTATTAAATTGAAGGGTCTGAAGGACAGGGGCGTATACAGGAATTTATTATAGGGGGGCCCAAATCAAAAAAGTAATATAGAATTTGCTTTTTAGGCACCATTTTAAACCCAAAAGCCTAATATTTAACACAATTTAGAGTTTTTAGGGGGGGCCGGAGCACCATGGGCCCCCCCTCTGTATCCGCCGCTGCTGAAGGACATGTTGTCCTGTAATCAAAACTATATTAGGTATTTACTGTATTGGGTCTGTACTTACTTTGTTACAAATATCGTAATCTTTAACCATACAAGGTGTTCAAAATTGTATACCAAACTTTTTAAAATATAAAATAGATTTTCTTCGTTGTATATTATTTCTTTGTTAGATGGAGAATTAAGAATGAATATTTTTTGTATTTAAAGTATTTTAAAATTTTCAGCGGTTTCGCAAATATTCTTTCAACGGTTAAATACCAGACAAAAATCATTGGGTCGCTTGATTTGGTTTGGTTAGTAAAAAATTACTGTTGAAAACCCCATATACAGGGTGGCGCCTCTCATACGCCACGGAGGCTCCAAGGAGAACGACAGTTTCTATTGAAATAAAATGTTGTGAGCGTATGTAGGTTAACTTAGAGCATTTTTTTAAAATACCGGGTGCGTCTCAAAAGTGGCTCACCCTTATAACTTTTTTTATTTTTTCAGATAAAAAATCGAGATTTGGTATATTAATATATGACATAAATTAGGATTGACTGACGTATTCAATTGTTTTCTGTCGCTTCCTGTTTCACCGGAAGTGACTACAACTTTTGATTTTTAAATGGTACCCTCTGTGTTTTGTTACTTTATTCGATAGAAAATGACACTCTAAATAGAATGACATATCATATGTCAACTCTTGACATTTTCCAATATGGTTTATTTGAAATTACAACATGCGATTCATAACGACAATTTGACTCGAAATACCAAGTGTGTGGTACCAAATTATTCGTAAAGAAATGCATTTTCCAAATATGAAAAAATTGAGATATTATTAAAAATACGATTTAGGCATCTTTTAACCGGCCAGGACAAGACACGAATAACATTTATTAGACGATCAAATCTATTTTTCCAAGGCTCCTTGATTAAAAAATAGTATTTTTAAAACATCCATGGCACTCTAGATTGAAATTTAAAATTCAATTTTGTTTTAAGCAAAAATGTCAAAAGTTGACATATATGATATGTCATTCTATTCAGAATGTAATTTTCTATCGTATAAAGTAAAAAAATACCGAGGGTGCCATTTAAAAATCAAAAGTTGTAGTCATTTCCGGTGAAACAGGAAGTGGCCGAAAAGAATTGAATACATCAATCAATCCTAATTTATGTCATATACTAAAATAATAAATCTGTTTTTTTTTTATCTGATAAAATAAAAAAGTTATAGGGGTGAGCCACTTTTGAGACGCACCCGGTATAGAAAGTTCTACAGTTTTGTGTGTCCACAAAAAAAGTTACACATCAAATTTGTGTTTTTTGTAATGGAACACCCTAAATATTAATTGATATTCGGATGCTTTTATGTAAGGAAGTTCATGTCTCTTCAATATATACTATTAAGGTTGCCTACTCTTTAGACAAATATTTTCCAAGATATTTTCATTTTTGTGATTTTGCGTCAGTAGATATTTATTATTTGATAAAATCTAGGCCGGCTGGTGAGATACCTTTTGATAATTTCACAAAAATTGTAAGGATGTAGAATAAAATCTTGAACGGTAATATAAAATTTTTAAACTTTTATAATTACTTTAAAACATATTTTAATAGTTACAGAATTAAAACTAGATATAAAATATAAATGTATAACTATGTGACAAAAATTAGCTAGATTAAATTAAATACTCAAAATGCTTCCTTTCCTGTTCACTGCATAAAATGATTATTTTTTCAAAAGATCTTTTCATGTTAATAATTTGGTGTTCTACTTCGAAAAGCAATTTAAAAATATTCAACTTTAGCTTGAAAATTTGTTTGAACCACACTATACTTTTTTTACAAAACTATTTTCATAATGTGCGTTAAAATTGCCCTCACATTACTTAAAAAAAATTGAAATGAATATAACAAACCAAAATTCCTATTAGAGCTTTTTCGGAAGCCTGGGACACCCTGCATGTTTTTTTAACTATTCAAATAGATAAATGTTTTAAAATGTGTATAAACAAAGCAGAATGTATTTCTCTTGTACTTTTTTTAATTTTTCCATGTAGAATTTTTTCTGTAAAGATCTGTAAAAAGTATAGGATTTGCAAGAGCCTTTTTAGATTTGCAAGACCAGGACAAAAGAACTTGCTCCTGCACCAAAGAACTTGCTCCTGCATTTGCTCATCACTAAATACAGTGCAAAAACTTTCTATAAGACTTTTAAAAAATAAATAAATTGAAAGTTGTTGTTGAAAATATTTATATTTATAGAACTAATTTTGTCTATTACATACAAAGTGGACTATTATTTTGGACATTTTTTAAAGTTGGACGTTGTATAATTATTGTCATTTTCAATAAAATTATGCTGTCATGTTATTTTTTATAAATTGTTATGGAGTAAAGTCTGATATTTGGAATAAATTTTAATTCTAATAATTAAGTCATACCATTATATTTTACAATTTGTTTAATAATAATAAAAAAAGAATTATTTTTTCTTAAGTCACTGTTCACAATTAGCTAAGTAGCTGAAATCATATGAAAACAAAACAGCTAATAAAATCAAAATAAACATAAAATGGTCAATACATATATTGAAAAAATATAGCGATTATAAATAATTTATGACAAAATTAAATACTGCTAAAGTAATAAAATTTTATGGACAAAAACTAAATTAAAAAAGACACTGTTTCTGGTTGTCGTTTTTAATAATGAACTTAGTTATGATATATTTAAAATAATTTATTAAAATATAATAATTCTCCTTAAAAATCTGTTTTTAATATTATACTTTATTTTTATTCCCTCTCATTATAGTTTACATTATCCGTATGATAAAAAAAAACGTCAAGTTGTCTTAGAAATGCAGGTCTATATCAGACACAACTTTAAACACAAAATAATTGTGAGGTTACTCTAAATTCATCATTTACTGCAACACTAGAAGAAATCTTTCGTTATCTTGACCGGACCAACAAAGGATTAAAAATAGATGGAGAATATATTAACTATCTAAGATTCGCTGATTAACATAGTCCTAATTGCCAATAGTCCTGAAGAACTACAAATACAAATTAACGCACTAAATACAGCCAGCAATAAAGTAGGTCTCAAAATTAATTAATAGGCCAGTCAATCTGGAGGTTGAGGTGGAAAAAATTAGTAACCAACCGATCTCAACGGGAATGTGTAGATAACGATCTCCTATTTAACCCCTCAAAAGTCCCATTCGGTCCCAGTGGGGGAAGTTTAAAAAAAACCGCCGCCATCTTGGATTTTTTCGTTTTTTTTAAATATCTCCGTTTGCGTAACTTTTTTCGAAAAAACTAAAGGTATGTTTTTTGTAGAGAATTAAATTTAGAATATTTTAGCTTCAATCACATTTTTTCCAAAATAAATAGTAATAGAGATAAAGGAATTTTTTACTATACGTTTTATAAATTTTCCAGTTATTTTTTTCCTAACCTAACCAATCAGTTATACTTCTTGCGTTAACAGTATAGTGTTAATATAGATAACCCAAGTATAAATTTAATAATTAAAACAGTTAAAAATAACGTTTAAATATTATTTATTAAAAAAAATATGGTTAAAAAAATTAAATTACAGTTATTAAATAAAATCTGCTATGACGTCATCCTGAGCGTTTCCTGCGCATTTTCGTCCTCACCTAAAATACAAAAGTTTGTGCAACTGATTCCGTAGCAATAGCCACACTTTGAAGAACATTTAAGACCCAGTTTTCTACAAGAGCAATTTTAAGAGCACTGACTCTTTTTGCAATTGCAAAAAATTAATTTTAGTAGGTCAGAAGGCACCGCCAAATCTTCTCTTTATTGAATAGATGTCAGATTGCCTTTTTGATCTTTCTTCCATCCATATTGTAAAGGATCTAACTTGCTACCAATCCATACTTGAGTCTAAAAAATACAACTTATAACATTTCCTATAAAAGATATAGTAGTCTTAAGGGCTTGTCTTGATGTAATCCTATTGTATAGAGCGTATCTCAGATGGTTAATATGTTTAATATACCTTGGGTAGTAATATAGCTTTAAAATATAATTTAATCCTGACTGAAACAAGTCAAAAATGTGCCTCTCGGTACTGAAAAAAATGATTTTTGTCAATACCTCAACGTATTTTTAGAAAAAAATTCTAACAAAAATGACTTTTCAGTCAGGATTAAATTATCTTTTAAAGCTATATCATTGCCCAAGCTATATTAAACATATTAAATATCTGAGATACACTCTATACAATAGGATTACATCAAGACAAGCCCGTAAGACAACCTTTAATTTAGCTAATTTGAACTGAGAACTCTGCAAAAGTCCATTTACTCAGGACATACTTTCAGGTAACTGTAAAGATATATTATCTATTATAGGAAATGTTATAAGTAGCTTATAGTAGATTCAAGAATGGATTGGTAACAAGTTAGATCGTTTACAATATGGATGAAAGAAACATCAAAAAGGGCAATATGACACCTATTCAATCAACAGAAGATGTGGCGCCTCCTGACCTACTAAAATATTTTTTTTTGCAATTGCAAAGAGAGTCAGTGCTCTAAAAATTGCTCTTGTAGAAAACTGGGTCTTAAATGGTCTTCAAAGTGTGGTTAGTGGTTAGTGCTACGGAATCAGTTGCACAGACTTTTGTATTTTAGTTAAGGACGAAAATGACGCTCAGGATGACGTCATAGCAGATTTTATTTAATAACTTTAATTTAATAATTATTTTTTTAACAATAATTGTATTTAATAAATAATATTTAAACGTTATTTTTAATTGTTTTAATGCTTAAATTTATACTTGGTTTATCTAGATTAACACTATACTGTTAACGCAAAAATTATAGCTGATTGGTTTAAAAAAACTGGAAAATTTAAAAAACGTATAGTAAAAAATTGCTCTACCTCTATTACTATATATTTTAGAAAAAAAATTATTGAATATAAAATATTCTTAATTTAATTCTCTACAAATAACGTATCTTTAATTTTTTCGAAAAAAGTTATGCTAACGAAGATATTTGAAAAAAACGAAAAAATCCAAGATGGCGGCCATTTTTTTCAAACAACCCCCGCTGGGACCGAATGGGACTTTTGAGGGGTTAAATAGGAGATTATTATCTACATATTCCCGTTGAGATTGGTTGGTTACTAATTTTTTCCACCTTTACATTATAAAACTCGGCTACGTTTACTGGCCTATAAACTAAAAGCAAAAACTAACGTAATACACAACGAACTAGTAAACAGAAAAAACATTCTAATAAATAACACCAAAACACCAAACCAAACACTGGAAATAAAAAGTTATAAATATATATTTGGAACAACTAATACACCAGCTCGGGATCTACCAGAAATCAAAAGAAGAATTTAGCATGGAGCACTTATTGAAGAAAGAAGAAACTCAATTATATTCAAATCTAGAATAGCTTTACCTAAAGAAGAAAACATTCTACCAATATAATACACTGGTGTATACGGTTACGAGTTGTTGAGGGCTGAGCCGTTTACTCTTTTTCTTCTTTTTTATACATTTCCCTCACTATTTCTTTCTTGTTCATTCTACCAATGTGTACTACCAGTCATGACCTATACATGCAAAACCTGGATATTTAAAATGGATATTATAAGGAAACTGCAGGTCGCACAATGCTCAATGGAACGAAATATGCTGAGAATAACTAAGAAAGACCGTAAAAGAATACAAATAGACAACAATAGGCCCAACTACAAAGAGATTATTTAAATATATAAGTAGACTACATCTTAATTGGAAATGGTTGGATAAGCTGAAAATTGTGATGATGATGATTAGTTGAAAGAAAAACATAAAAAATAAATAAATCTAAAAATCTCTGAAACCACACATAATTAAAAGGAAAATTGAATAATCATTACTTGTAACTTGTAATATTTTTGATTAAAATTTAAATTTTAACCGGTGGTTAAAACAATAATTATGTGTATAGTAGTATTACATTATAATAAAAAATACCTATTTATATAAACGGTTAAAGCAAATAATAAATAATTTCCATTAAGTACCTAATTATTAAAAATTAACTAATTAATTCAGTCAAATAAAAATAAGTTAGGTAATATTTGAATGAAAAACAGATCAAATAAGTACAAAATTATTATTAGTACAAATTATTATTATACAACAGATAAATGATACCGATATAAATAAAACATTTGTGAGGGCTGATAAATATTACTTATATAACTACTTTTAACTTACTTTTTAATTCTTCCCCATCCTTAGTACACTTCTTTCTTCCTACCATACAATCAACATAATTCTTCAACAACCTATCACTTCTGATAATAGCATCTAAGTCGACATTGTCATACCTAGTAGTGTACTTTGCTTGGGGTTTACACCAAACCAAGGTACATAAGCACAAAAGAACAAAAACAGCTAAATATTTCATATTCAAAATCTTAAAGCGTTCTTATTTTCTACAGATGTTTCATTCAGTCTGTGCTGATATGTACGAAATTTCTGGTTTTTATAAATGCGAATAAAAGAAGAAGAACAAGAAGATAGGCAGATGTTCAAACAGGCTTTACTGACGTCACTCAAAATTCTTTTTATTGTGGTGCTAAGTTAGATTACAAGAAAAAGACATAAAATTTTAAATAGTTTTTATTTGAATATTCATAAGTCCGTTCTGAAAAACAACAGTTATAAATAATACGTTATCTTTCATCTTTTCGTTCTTATTTTTTTATTTTTATATTGTTGGCCATTTAGCTAGCCATATACTCTCAGACGCATAAAACGCAACAGACAAATTTTTCGTCATTTTTGTAACAATCTCTATATAAATATATCAATTTTAATTCGTTACTCAGTTATTTATAAATTTCAGTATTTGGCTTAATATACAGGGTTAATTGAAAAGTTGTTTTTTACCCTAACTTTAAAACATCCTGTGAAATAATTTTGTGAGCAAATTTTCCTAATACATTATTTTATGGTCAGAACCATGACATTTGAGTATTTTTTTTTTGGTTCATGTCAATACGTACCTTGGTTAATTAAAAGCGAAATGAACTTGTCACCAACAATGCCCTTATATCATAGAGTATACTAAGTGGTTTTGAATTATGACCACGTCCTCATGGACGTCAATCTAGACGTCCAAGAACCTTCGTATGAGAACTTCTAATCGACACAATCGACTTATTGTAAGTTTATCTCTAAGAAACAGCCGCGCCGTTTGCCAGCTTTTCAAATTGATAATGAATTGCACTTAAGGAACGTACATATTAACTAACTGACTATAAGAAGAAGATTAAATGAAGAAAATCTTATGTCAAGAAGGCCTGCTTCGGGACCAGAAGTTACTAGATGTGTTGACTAGGCCCAAAAGCAAAGGCATGGTATTAATGTAATAATTACGAATAAATGTTAGTGTCTTCTTGAAAAACGAATATTTCCAACGAAAATATAGCTAATGGGATGAACCAAAAACAAACCATCGAGAAAAGATGTAACTAGATGATAAAATGATTTTTTAAATTTCTTGCTGTTTTAACATGTCACAGGGTGTTTCAAACTTTCACCAAAATATAAACATTTTGTTTTCCCTCGTATAATTAACAGATGGGGAGTTTCATTTTTAATTTAGAAAAAGATACTAAAAAGTCAAATAATTTGGCTACACACTGTTTAAAAAATTATCAAAATTGGCCCATTAAAACAAAATATATTAACCTTTAAAATGCATCAAAGTTTTAAGGTGCCCATTTTTTTGTGCCGGTGAATGTATTTCAAAAGCTATACATTTTAGTCATTTACTTTTCTAATGAAACAAACCTTTATTTTTTTACTAGAATCCAAAAATTAATTAATATATAGGGTGTTCCATTACAAAAAAAATAACTTTGATGTGTAACTTTTTTTGGGGACATCCTGTAGAACTCTGCAGAATTTTAGAAAATGCTTTAAATTGATAAGTTACATAAGCTCAAAAAATTTCGCTTCAATACAAACTTTTGTTCTCCTTGTAAAAACCGCGTCGTATATGACGCGCCACCCTGTATAATTCGATTTCAATCAAAATTTCAATTATTGGAATATAAGCAGAATAGGTATAGCTTATGCATTAGATTTATTTATTTCAATAAATTTACTTAGAAAAAGAATTAAAAAATCAATAAAATTAAGAAGGAAATAATTAAGAAATTACTAAAATTACTAAAGTAAGAAAATAAATGCAACGAAAAAAAAATGGGTAAACATTTTAGTATTTTATCTATAAAACACAATACAGAAGGTTTCAAATTAACACATTCACAGTAATTGAATTCTGAGATAAAAGTCTCTGGGTACTCCACTAATTTGCAATTTTTTCAATTATTATCAATACTTCTTGTTATTTTGGCATGTTATTTTTTAATATTACAAGGTGGCTTTGGTGTCTGTTGTCGTATTGTCATATTAACAATAATTGTATTTTGTGTACCGTGTACCTACGATTCAACGAACTGTTGATACACTCACATTCTTGCCTTAAACCTCCTGATACCGACTTCTTGTATGCACCGTTGTTAAATGACGGTCCCGCAAAGCGTTGATTCTAATATATCGATAGTCTAGAGCTTTAGTTTTGCGCTTTCTAAACACGCTTATTTCGGCCAGTATATCTAAAAAGTTTCACTACCCGTTTGATCATAGAGCTATTAGTGTGTTTTACTCTAGCATCATATTCATACTTTCTCCCATCTTCTTGGATTCACTTTTGCACAATCTTCGACATTAAGAACTATATTCAATCGCAGGTACAAAATATCACTAATTTTGAAATGAAGATTCTTTTACAAATGGGCTATCCGTTATTGTATCATGATGGGCTATAATATGCGAAATTTTTTAATGGTAATGATGTCATATTAGGGTTATACACACAACCAATATGGAATCACCCTTTATTTCTGACTAAGTAATTTATTTTGCAGTATATCCCTTATATTCATCCTGGCCTGGCGCAGTCCCTGTCTGTTAGTTGCTGGACACGCCACAGTACCTACATGTCTTTCCTTTGTGATTCCTGATCCTTCACTACCTTGACATAAAAGCCTAATTTAGAGGGCCCTAGAAGACAATCATCCCACATGAAAGTGCAGTAATGAGCAGAAGTTTTTCTCAATGCGCCCAAAGTCTCTTCAATTCCAGGCGTCTGCGTCCGTGAGGACGTTCTCTGTTTAACTGAAGAATAAAGAAATCAGAAAGAAACAATAATCAAAGAATAATAGACTCTGACTGGCCGTCAAAAGGCGCGTGGTCATCGTGAAACAAGAAGAAGAAGAAGAAGAAGGAATGTCCCAAAGAGACGTAGCAGAGATAGTAGGCGTTACCCAGGATCTTGTATCGAAAACATATATGCAAGGTACATATGTTCTTGGAATTAGGAACTCTCAAAAACAGGCACAGACAAAGTCGTCAAAGAATCACAATTGAAAAACAAGACCGCTTTGTGTGCCAAATTGCTAGAAGAAATCCCAATGTTTCTCATCCAGAGCTACAAAGACAACTTCTGGCAGCTACAGGTATAAACATTTCAGTTGAAACCATAAGAAAAAGGCTTCATGATCGAGGGTTGTACAATAGGAGAGAGTTACGGGTCTCACAGTTATCTCGGCAAAATAAAATTGTCCAGCTAAATTGGTGGCTTTAATAGCAAAACTGAACATTTGAGAATTGGCAAAATGTCCTTTTTTCGGATCAGACCAGGATTGGCCTAAAATATCTGATCTTAGGCCAATTCTGATCTCATCCAGAATTAACAGCAACCTAACCTAACCTAACCATCAAATTCGGGTTTTCAGAGCTCCAGGATGATGAGCGAGACTCCAGGCTGCCAAATCTGTACCAAAATATAAAGGAGGACTGTAATGTTCTGGGGAGGTATTATGCTGGGAACAAAAACTCCATTGTTACCACTTCAACAAACCTTAACGGTTCGTAGGTATGTTGATTTAGTGCTAGAACCAATCGTTAGACTTTGGAGACCTGCAATTGGGAATAATTTTAACTTCATGCACGATAATGCACCTCTTCATACCAGCAGAGTTGCTAGAAAATGTCTTGAAACGGAAGGTGTCATAGTTTTGGACTGGTCTGCATGTTTACCAGATCTAAACCCTATCAAACACTTTTGTGGGACCAGCTCAAAAGAAGGGTTAGAGCTCATTTCGTGGCCAGCTCATTTCGCTCCTAAAAATTAATCAAGGCATGTGTTGACATATGACCCAAAAAAAAAGATTTGAAGACATATGGTTTTGGCCGAAAAATAATGTTGTAGGAAAATCTGCTTAAGAAATTAATTCACAGGGCGTTTTAAAGTTACCGTAAAAAATAACCCTTCGATTAACCCTGTATAATAAGCCAAATACTGAAGTTTATAAAAAAAAACTCAGTTTACAAATTAAAGTTAATATATTTTTCTATCCCTGCTCTATAATATAGATGACAAATTTGGTTTACTTATAATAAATTCGCCACTATTAAATGAACCATTTATCTAATATACAGTGATCGAAATTCAAATGGCTATAACACTGGTCTACCTATATTGAGTGGCACGAAAAACGGACACATTAAAAATGTCATATACAGGGCGCGTATATGACTATATTTATTTATTATATATATAAATTATTATAATATTTTAGGGGTAGTGTATTTAAACGCTATCAGGAACACGTCTATGATTCTTTTACAAAAAAAGATGTTGAAAATGGTACATTTTCTTTCAAAATTCGGTGGCTCTCAAATTTTTTGCTTAAATTTTGAAACTTGAATAATTTAGTTATTTTGGACTTATTTGAAAAACGGTAAAGAGAAAGTATGTTCCTTTTATCGAGATCTACCAGCCCTGAAAATGCACTTGTTTAAGCCTCACCTTTTATTTTAAAATTCCTATTTTGTTATAGTAGACTAATTTTGAATATTTCTTAAGCAATTTGTAGCTTATTTTGAAGTGAATTGTTTTACTTTTTAGCCTCTTTTTTAAATTAAAAATTAAAGTTCCGATCTGTTAATTATACGAAAGAAAAATATATCGTTTAACAAAAAATTCATGAAAATAGGGTTACAATTAAGAGACATATCATGCCCTAAATTAAACGAAATATTTTCCGTTGCGTTTTTTTGCATCTGAGTCTAGTTCTGGTCATGTAATTTGTTCTTTCGGCGTTGCAGAAAAATAATTTACTTTTAAACAATAGAAGCTGACATTGAAAAGCGTTGTATTTATTTACTGTTACTATTTATTCCAATGAAAAGAAATTTTCGACCAACCAAGCTATAAAATGGTGGACCCTCGAGTGAACCTGATAGGTAAAAAGCTAATATTTGTTTAAAATAAATCAATTAAATTTTATATTACGAATCAAACAAATTTAGATAATAATATGTATGTGAATGACTATTTTGACTATATTGTATATAGGACTGGAAAATTATAAACAACAGTTTTAACGTTTTATTTTATTTTTAACAGTTCGACATTTACATTTAAATGGTTGTTCTGACAAACCTATATTTTCGTACTTCACTAATTAAAAAAAAGATATTTTTAAAATACTCGTTATTTTCTAGACTATTTACAATTTGATGCCTTCTTTGGCCAGTTCTTCTCTGTATTGCTTCTTGTAGGATCCTTCTTTATCGTATTTATTTTCAAGTTCTTTCCACCATTCAGGTTTGTTGTCAATTAAGTGACGCATAATCTTTTTGCTTCCATTCTTTTGGGTTTCGCTGCATTTCGAGCAGTCAGTATGCAGAGCATCAGGTAGAACCTCTATAAAATGATACAGCAAGTTAGAAATATTCTTAGTTTAAATAATATGTATGTTTCGATACTATTATACAGATTGGTTTACTGTTATTTTTTTCAAAGAAAAATTATGTTCTTTCTGAGTGGGTTATATAGGGCGGTGATAGGATCAAAATCATGCCTTTGATTTTGAGCCTAATCAACACAATGATATTATTATTGTTTGTTGGCAGTTACTTTAGCAGAGAGTGTTATTAAATCCAGAAGTTTTATAAGCTATTGTCGCAAATAAAAAACCAAATACAAAAAAAAATTGCGAAAATAAAGAAATTATTAAACAAAAAATAATAATATGTTTTTTGATGGCAGTAATATTACAAAAACAACAAACATTATTAGTATAAAGGGAAATTAAAACAACTTTCGGTGCACGTCATCAATGACACCATGCGTCGTCTTATGGAGTTTGCTGGTGGTCGTATTATGATGTGCAACCAAAGTTATTTTAATTTTCCTCTTTTGTTGTTCACGCTCTTCGACGCTACAATACTCTCGGCGTATTGTAGCCCAATGATTAGATTTTTAGAAATGATGTGAGTGATGAGGTATTTAGAGGACTACTAAATCTATAATTTAAAATTATTTTGAAAAGGTACAGAGTGCCCCAAATAATAAATATGAAAATTGCATTTTTTAAATGGAACATCCTGTATATTATTACGTTTTTAATTCCTACGATTAATATAAAGGTAAATTTGATTAAGGTTTACCGCACTTTAATCTTACCGTTTCTGAAATATTGACGATTTTGTAAAAATGCAGTAACAATTTTAATGCTTCGTTTCTCTAGGCGTATTAAACTATTTAAAACCAAATATTGTACTGAAGTAGTAGTTTTCCATTAACTAGTAGTAGTTTTTTAATAACTATGATTATTTTTAAAGATTTACCACATTTTCAAAGAGTAGAGATGCTAATATTGTGGATCTAGTTTCCTTATTTCTTTAAAAAATAAAAAAAGCTATGTAATATTTGTAAAAGAGAACCAATTAATATAATCCCAGTATTCGAATTACATTGATTGACTATTTGCGTCGATTAATAATTGCTCCATATACTAAAAATATTGAATTTTGTATGTGTATTAAGACAATGTGGTAAAAAGTAACACCTAAATTTTATTTAATTTTTTGACGAATTTTTATTTATAAGAAAAGAGACGTTCATAATCATAACTTATTAATATATTGATTTTTGTATTAAACCCACCTTTATTTAGAATACTTTATTACCTAACACAATTACGTATGTAATTAATTAATATTTGAGCAGAAAAAATGGTAGTATATCTAGTTGGTATACTCTTTTACAAATATATAAATAGTTTTCTTTTTCTAAACCAATTGGCTAGTATTATTATTCTTTTTAGCATCTGTACATTTTTTAAATTTGTTACTTTAAAATACAGGATGAGTCTTAAATAAATGCTAATATATTTAGGGGTAGTATATTGCGGCCCCAGAAACACCATCATAATTTTTTTTGCGAAAAAAAAATCGAAAATTTGGAATTTTTGAAAAAAAAATGATTTTTTTTAGTTAAAAACATAATTTTTTGATAATATGGCAACATAGGTAGTAGATTAATTAATTCAAGGATAAAATCTTTATTTTTTATTTTCAAAGTAAAATATCTGGGTAATTTTGGACTTGAAAAACGGTAAAGAGAAAAGTTGTTTTTTTTTTATCGAGATTTACCAGCCCTCAAAATATTTGCACTTATATAAGGCGCACCCTGTATATAAATGTCAATATTCCATTGATAAATGAGGTCTAACTATAAGAAAATTCATTTTCTACAAAAGGTTGAAGAGAAAATAATAATGTAAAATATTGATACAGTTTCATAGACAATTAAATTGTGCATCTGATTAGGTAAAAAATACTAGGCACTACATTTAAATCAAACAAGGTATTGCCGTTAAAACCTAGGAATTATTTAAAATAAATCTTTAAACACTTTGTATTTATTTTATATATATTTGTATAAGTATTATTTTTAGTATTGCAAGACAAAATTTAGTAAATAGAAAAACTTCAGAACAATATTTTGTTTTAAGAACTTAAACCAAAAAAATTGTTAAGTGCATTTTTACAAAATCGTAAATATTTCAAAAACGGTAAGATTAATTATTTGCATCCTTTTAGTGCAGTAAACTTTAATCAAATATATCTTTATTTTAATCGTAGAAACTAAAAAAATAATATTGTACTGGGTGTTCCATTTAAAAAATTCAACTTTGATATTTATTTGGGGCACTCTGTACCTTTAGCAAATAATTTTAAATTGAAACTTTAGTAATATCACTCACAGTTTTCAAAAATCTAATTATTTGGCTACAATACTCCGTGTGGAATAGCGTCAACAACCCTGTATATGCATTTTCATACATTTAATTTTAGACAAATAGGTATGTCTAGAATTTTATGAATAATCTAAACATTAAGTACATATACTGTTACATAATAATAAAAAAGTTATTTTTGTTTATTTATTATCGAATTTATTCTGTTTGGTTGCTACGCACTGAATTTATTAGTAGCTAGGCATTATTATGATTATTTCTAAATTAATTATAGTAAAACATAGTACTCACTTTTTAATTCTGCTCCATCGGGAGTACATTTTCCTTTTTCCAAAAGACAGTTCACGTAGTTCTTCATCAATCTATCGCTCTTGATAATTTCTTCCAGGTCAACATTATCGTACTTGGTGGTGTATTTTGGGTCTTCAGCCAGAGCCACACTGGCAATAGCAACAAAACATATCACAAACAACTAAAAATAAAAAACAAAGACCCTGTTAGTGCGTGCCAAAGAGAACTGTTATTATTTAGTAGTCTTAAAAAAATTATACTTGAAAAACTTATAAAAAAATCAGAGTTCACACCTTCATTATCACGTTCTCTCTAGATTTAATTGAACCAATCTATTCAGATTAATCTGTATAAGTAATATTTATATTGTTATGCAAAGAGCTCTTGTAGGGGGGCAAGAATGCAAGTCGACTTGTTTATGCAGCAATTAAACGTTTATATAAGAATAAAATCCGATCTATTTAATAACAATCGTATTTCTCGCTTATAGAAAAAGAAATATGTTGTGTGTTTCCTTTTAAGTGTATTCAACTGATTTTATGTACCTACCTCTTCTAAGAACTCTTTATATACGCTTATTTAAAAAATGACACAATGGACAATATTATTCTGATTTTCTAGGCACAATGTCTTCTTTCTTGAGACTATTTTACAATTTTAGAATACTTCTTTCCTGAAGTCCAATTGAACCTTTTAATTGATTTTCTAAGTGCTTTTTCTTCATGATAAGCAAGATTCTTGACTTAATATTAGATCCGACAGTAGTGCGTCCAGCTTCTGTAGCTCCTAGAATAAAAAACTTGGGATATTTTTTAAGTGTAAACCTAAAGTCTGTACTTAATGACGCATTATTGCCGGACCCTGTAGATAACAAATAATTACTAGTTAGTTTTTTTTGGTTTTATTTTGATACAAGTATTGTTGAAAAATCAAATTTTCTTAGAGTTGATGAAATTTAACTTAAATTTAATAACAAATATTGCCAATTTTAATAACAATATACACTCAGATTCAAAAAAAAAAACGCAACGGAGAAAATTCTGGTCAAATTTAAACTGTTATATTTTTGTTATTTTTAGCCCTATTTTCATGAACTTTTTAACAAGCTGTATATAATTATATCAATTTTAATTTGTAAACTCAGTTTTTTATAAACATTAGTATCTGGTATATTAAACAGGGTTAATCGAAGGTTTTTTTTTACTCTAACTTTGACCCACCCTGTGCAATAATTTCGTGTATAAATTTTCCAGAAATATAATTTTACGGTCAGAACCATATCTCCTGAGCATTTCGTTTTTTGGCTCATGTTGATACATGCCTTGATTATTTTTTAAGAGCGAAATGAACTTGCCACCAACAATTTGCAATTTTTTCAATTATCACTTCTTTTTGAAGTAATTTTTCAATATGACAAGGCGGCTTTGGTGATTATTGCAAACTATACACTACTTTGAACTGCTCATCATGTTCGACGTTTGGGAAATGCTTGACAGAAGAGTTAGAGGTCGCGCAGCCTTACCAGCTTCATTAAATGAACTTCGCTTGGTTCTTAAAGAAGAATGGGAAAGCATAACGCAATATGATAGATGTAGCCTCAATGACAGTATGAACGGACGTATACAGGCAGTTTGGTTTGGTTTGAGCCAGGGGAGGCAAAACAAACCATTAGTGTATTTTTTACAATTTTTTTTCTGTTTGTATACTTCAGTATTACAGAGGTTTTCTTTAATATTATTAGTTTTGTTATCTTTATTACTGTTTGTTAAAACCAGGACTGCAGCGTTAGCCTTTAACGTTTTTTTTTTTTAATTTAGTATAGAGTATCCAATGCAGCGTGATATGACGTTACGACAATAGTCACCAAAACCATCTCGTCTTATTAAAAAATTACATCAAATGTAATAATAAATAATAACTAAAAAATTTGCAAATTGATCGTGATCAGTTCATTTCGCTCTTAAAAAATAACCAAAGCATGTATTGACATGATTAAAAAAAACAAAATGCTCAGGAGATATGGTTCTTATCGTAAAGTTATATTTTAGGAAAATTTACAGACAAAATTATTTCACAGGGTGTTTTAAAGTTAGGATAAAAAAACAACCCCTCGGTTAACCCTGTATAATATGTCAATTACTAAAGTGTACAAAAAACTGTGTTTACGAATTAAAGTTGATATAATTATATACAGTTTGCTAAAAAAATCGTGAAAATAGGGCTAAAAATAACAAAAATATAACATTTTAATTTGACCAAAAATTTCTCTCTTGCGTTTTTTTGCATCTGAGTGATTGATTTGTTTTGATCTAACATATCTACACAAGCACAGATTTTTAGAAAAAAAGTCACAGTTAAAATAGCAACAGCAAGGACTCAACTAGTAAATAACTCTTGTATTGCCAAACTGAATTTTCAAAGCTGAAAACTGATGTACCTACATGATTTTTCAATTCTCATTTATATTGTTATAAATTATTGAACAGAGACACATAAATATTATATTAATAAAAATATATTTTATCTTAATAAATAAATAATACAAAAGTGACAAAAAAATTGGTATAATTTAATGACTATAATCATTATACGGGAGTCTTCAATAAGTGCAAATATTGAGCTAGTAGATCTCCATAAAAAAACATATTTTATCTTTACGGCTTTTCAAAAATAAAAAGTTCAAAATAACCTAGTTATTTAGGTTTGAAAATACAAAAAAAAATTGATTTATTTTTTTAAAAATTGAGAACCACCGGATTTTTTCTCTTTTGCATCTCTTTTGGCGCCGTAACCATAAGGTAAAGCCGTAACCATGGTAATATCAGAGATTAAGAAATTATACCGTAAGAAAATTTGCGGTGAACAGGCAGTTCTAAAAAGTTTTATTAAATACATATACAAAGAAATGTTTTTTAATAGAAAATGCACAATTTTTAACATCATTTTTGCGAAAAAAAACTCATAGGTGTGTTTCTGGGGTCGAAATATACCACCTCTAAGGGTAGCCTTTTTTCTCTCATTCTGTTTATATGCCCATACCAGACTAATTGTTTTTTTTTTGGATTTCTTCTACGATGGTTATCTCTTTCTTTGTTATTCTTCTTGTTTCTTTATATCGCCCTTTTTCCAATTTTGATTTTCTCGCCGATCTTCTGAGGAAGTCCATTTCAGTTACTAAAAGCTTTGGACTTGCTTATCTGCCACATTTCAGCGCCATATGTAAGTGTGCTTAACCATCGTGCCATATATGCGAGTTTTTGTTGCGATGTTTATATTTTTTTGCCAAAGAATAGAATTTACAGCGCTTTCAGATGAAGCGGACCGTTCGCGATGGACCGTCCGTCGTGTTTTTTCAAGATAGTCGTCGGACGAACTCCGTCGAACGGAACATACGCACCCATATGAAATTGTTCATATAAACTCATGGTACTTGCTCGAAGTCACGGACGCTCCGTCGCGGACGGTCCGCTCCATCTGAAAGCGCTGTTAGTGCCCCTGTAACAGCGCTTTCAGATGGAGCGGAACGTCCGCGATGGACCGTCGACTGTCCGCGTGTTTTTATATTAATGTGTTTATGTATATTGCCGTCATCCGCACGGAGCATACGTGACCCATGTTAAATTGTTCATATACAGCGCTTTCAGATGGAGCGGACAGGAGCGGGCCGTCCACGTCCGCGCGGATGTTTTCTTAAGATAGCTCATCCGGACGGAGCATACGCGACCCATATGAAATTGTTGATATAAACTCATGGTATATTTGGTCGAAGTCGCCGACGCCGATGCTCCGCTCCATCTGAAAGCGCTGATAAACTCTTGGTACTTGCTCGAAGTCGCGGACCCCATCTGAAAGTGCTGTAATGCTTCTGGCTTTGTTGATTCTGTTGTTGATGGTATTGCCGTTTTCTCCATTATTATGTATGTTAGTACAGTTTTACAAATATAGGAAGAGACTTGGGGATAGCACCGGTCGACCGGTCGCTTGTTATTTTATATTTCTCACGTCTCTAGCTATACTTGTTAAGTTGTACCTAGGTATGTGAATTCAGTACATGATTTTATTTTGTTTTCCATATCTAGATCTTCTCCATTGAGACACTATGTGTGAAACAAATAACTATTAAGATAAAAAGCGGTCAAAACTTATATAATATTTGCAATATGACGCTGACAAATTTGTATCTGCGAATTCGCAGAATATTAAATTAACGTTAGTGTTACATAAATGTTTTAGCTAAATACATTTTTAATGTATCTGTCAACTAATTATTCTATGAAATTATTTTGAATAACATTTACATAATGTGTCATCGTTCTCCAAATGTTTAACATCATTAATTTTTTTTCGGCTTCCAAAGATCATCTGACGCATATGATGAGTAAACTAAAACTGTTTTAATGATATTAACGGTAGATTAAAGTAAGAAATAAAATAATTAAGAGTATCATTTCATTTTCTTTTTTTTTTCTGTTAACCTTTGTTATGCATTCTTTGTACGTATGTTTGAAGTGAATAAAATAAGAGATATTATTGAAGATTAAATGTATGCAAAAAATTAAAATATATTATCGAATAAAGAATGAAGCATGAAGAATGAGTGAGCATATAGCAACAAGACACTAATTATTTTCTTCTTACTTGACTGCTTCCAGTTATTTTAGTAACCAATCAGAGGTAAGTGATAAATTTAAAAATAATAAAATAGGGAAATCGCTGGTTTCAAGGCGACGTTAATCAGTGGCGTGCCACTCGCAGAAGAAACTAATTTATTATATAAAAAACTAAATGCAGAGAAATTAGTCCTATCCAAACTTCTATAAATTTCTAAACTATTGATTACGGTAAGTATGATAAATATAATCAGTCCTACGATAAGACGCATGACACACGAGGGGCGTTTCATGTAAAGGGGTAAAAAATATACTTCTAAATACTGCCAAAATATAATTTTACTGCCAAGCGATTGCCAATGACTGCGAAGAAGACGGCCATATCATTATAGACGACTGCCTTAGGACTGATGCTAACGAAACGCCAGCGACTGCCAAGAAAAATGTACAAAGCGGGCCAAATTGAACACTATTAAATGGAAACACTCTTTTCTATAGGAGATAGACAAAACTAATATCGGTGTCTGAAGCTCCATTTTTATCAAAAACATGATGGTAAAAAGCGCACAAGCGGAGTTACGGGATGTTTTTTCAAAAATATACATTTTTAACAAATCGCTGTAACATTTTAGCTATGGAAAATTTTGTATTTTTATGTAAACATTTCCAAAGCACCTTTTTACGTAGAATTTCATGGTTTAAGTTTAATTTTTTTAAAGTTAATAATTTAAGATTTTTAAAATTTGATTTTTTATTTATTGAGAAGAATTTAAAATTGCCTTTCCAAAAATATAGCATACTTGATATTTTGCTCGATTCCTCTTCGA